TTTCAGAATGCTGCATGTCTTACTACACCTCTTGTACAGTTTAGTACTCTATCCTAAATCTTAAGAGGAGAAAAACAAAACTTCAACAGTTGCCCATTTTAATATGGCTTTAAAAATAATCAAATATTTGCCTTGGAAGAAACTCAAATGACTATTTTAGTCCCTTAATAACCTCCAAATAATTGGGTTTACCATTTTTTCCACTTTTATGACAGTTTGGTGCTACAATGTAGACGCGACCTCAGGCCCCTAAGAACAAAGAGTCTACTTTGTGTCAAAGATATATGAAACTTAAACTGAATACAATGTCTTAAGTTCTTCCAAGAACTTAAGTATTTTGTGACTACTCTTTAACAGGAGTGTTTGACTTTCCATCTTACTTGATCCTATTTTCCAGTAAAGAAACACAACATAAGCCTGAACTACTGGATCATACACAACATCTCAAAGCTGGTTCTACATATAAAAAATTGATGTAGATCTGTGCTTCAACTAATTTTTAAAAACAAAACAACAGGAGGCTAAACTTTGTTAAGCAAGTGTTACCTCTATTATCATTGACAGGAGACATAACCCAGAAAAATGAGTATTAGGACATGTAGTTTTGTCTCGAAACATGCATTTAAGAAAATGAAAATATGCACTTACGAGGAGGAAAAGGAACAGGAAATGTTAAAGACAACAGAAGTTCCTGCACACAAGTACATTAATAGCACTCACGCTACCTTAGTTAAAGAACAATGTTTCTAACAAAAAAAGAAAGCAGTAGCCTGGAAAAACCTCCTGATACTGCTACATTTTCTGAAGAATGAATTTCTCTTACCAGGGAAATAGACCAAGACTTATACTTGTGAAAACAGGTCAAAATGAGAAAATGAATGCCAAATGAAAACTAAGACATGAAGAAATGGTTTCAGATAAAGCTTCAGATGAACTTAGAGCACATTTTGAAAGAAAAAAAGACAAATACTAAAACAAAAAATTTCTTAGACTGTTTGCTATAAACTCCCTCCTCCTACTTTGCTCCAAAAAATTCAGGTCAGACAACATTTAATGAACATCCAAATGCCCTTCCATAAGTTCTGGAATATGTCAAATCAACTAGTAGCAGATGAAGAAAAGAATGGCAACCAAAACATTTGGCCATTAAATTTTAAAACTGTATTATTGCCTGTGGATGTGTGTGCTCAGTCATGTCCAACTCTCTGCCACCCCATGGACTGTAGCGCACCAACCTCCTCTGTCCATGGAATTTTCCAGGCAAGAATACTGGAGTGGGTTGCCATTTCCTCCTCCAGGGGATCTTCCCAACCCAGGGATCAAACCCACATCTCCTGCATTGGCAGGTGGATTCTTTACTGCTGAGCTACTGAGAAATAACGCAACGCCCAACAAAAATTTCTATTTGATATGTAAATTTTTTAAAGAAAAAGAATCAAGTTATTTAAACAAATACATGATATTCAACAAATATGAGTATTTTAAAATAAGTATTGACATGAGGCTAACATCTTCAGATTAAGAGCTTGGAATATAAATCCTCCATTAAGGTTGCTTGTGACACAAAGAAATGCTGGGCTCACTGTGTTAAAGATGTCTACTAGAAATAAAATTCTCCCCTAGATCTACCAGTACATGCAAGTTTATTAGCTTAATCATGGCAAATCCTATGATAATATGAAATAATCAAGAAACTTAAGCTCTAATTCCAAAATTAAAGTGATTAAATCCATATCTTGCATATGTCACAGAATTTCAAAGAGTTTGCATTAAGATGTGAAACTCTGAAGAGTAGATCTAAGTGTTATTGCAAAGGACACTCAATTATGTTTTCAGAGTCCTTTGTGCTTTCGCTATCTCTTGGAAAAGATCATTTTAAGAGTTCTGTAATTTACCATTAAAAACATAATCAGTATCTCTGGAAATAGGTTAGCTAGGTATGTGATGGACCATTCACATGGGCAAAATACAGTTTTTCTTTTCTCCCTAATTATCTAACAAAACTTACTCTTCAAAGCCAAGACTTTCCATCTTAATTGACAGCTACTTTTCTTTTCATGAGGCACAAATAAGAATTTGCCCTCTCAACGTTAAAACGCCCCATATAGCTCATATGTTCCTTTAACATTGTGCTGCTGAACTTGTTACAACTCCCAGAATACAGACTTATACTGGTAGAAAGTCACAGACTAGAAATGAACTTACACCTCATGAAAAATATCATGACTTTTGGTCAACTTAAAGCTCATCTGTTAACTTTTCTCATTAAAAAGGAAAAATCCACTGAAGATATAATTTTAAATACTGATCAATCTTAAAAGCCAAATATATAAATGGATTCACTAATTACTTGGTAGCACATTATCTTTTTAACATTTCTGGTTGCTGGTTCATATTTTAAGAAGCTGTTTTCAGAGAAAGGAAAAGATTTTTTGTAATATATTTATAATACCATTTTTTATAATAAAATGAAAATGCTAACTCTATCATTAGCAAGATTAAAAAACTCCAAAGTTAGACTATATGCAATAAAGCTTCCAAAGAGGGAAAAGAGGTCAAATGAAGACTAAGTACTGGATGGTGATGTGTTTGACTATTTAAAATATTTCATTATGTCACACAACTATTTAAAATACTTCATTGTCACACGACTCTCTTCATGTAACACAACAGTTATAAAACTATACTGATCTGGATCTACTATAATTCAAACTACATTCCACATGCAATAACTACATACACCTAAGTTTGAATAACAGTTTTGAAGCAGCTCTTCAAAAACACAGAAATTACAATGGGTAGCATGGATCATGTAAATATGCATAAAGTGAATCCAAAATTCCAATTCTAACTAGATATTTCGAACTCCTACATGACTTTTTCTTCAACCATTGCCAGTCAAAAGCCAAGCAAAATTTTATCTCCTAGCCCTAATACCAGTCACTCTAAGATGGGAATAATAGTAACACTGTCAAAAACAGCTGAAAGGAGCAAGCTAAGTAATCCACAAAGATGATAGTCCCCAAATAACTAAGTTGACTTTAAGAGTAAACAAAGCAACAATAAACTGGTGTACCCATTGGGGGGGGGATGGGGTGGTTATCCTACTCTCATATAGATGAAAATGATGCTTTGGTTTGGTAACTTCTCATCCTGCCTTCCCCACACACAAGGCACTTTAACAGCTATTTGTTAACTAGCACGTACAAGGATGTGCAAAATGTTCCTAACAGTTAAAAGTGAGTGGTTATCCAACAGACTTCCCTGTCAGTTCATAAAACAATAAGCTCCCTAAGCAGACGCTAGAGCGGCTGGAGGGAGGGGGATAGAGGACGGGGACGGAAGGGTTGAACCGAAAGAAACGTGAGACACAGTCCCCACTCTTCAAGAATCACTCAATTCGTTGGAGTACAAGAGATTACATGAAAGAGTCAGAGACGAATTAATTGCTAACCTGAGTAGTACAGACTTTTAAGTGCAAGAGTTGTTCAGAGAAGTTGAAATATCTAAAGGTTACCATTTGAGCACTTACTATAAGCCAAATGCTTTACAGGCATTAATCTTCGCAACAATCCTTTGAGTACTTATTATTCCCAATTTACTCAAGGGGAAACGGTCACAGTGGCTAAGGAACTTACCCAAGGTCACTTGGCTAGTTAAGTGGCTAAAACTACCGCCTACCCAGGCGATCCAATTCTAGCGCTCACACTAAGACTTCGGAAAGTAGCGCGAGTGCGGACGGGGGCTGGGGAGGGTCATGCAGGCTGGCGCGGGCCATGTAGGCTGGCGCGAGTCATGTAGGCTGGCGCGATTACACGCGCAAGATCCGACAACACGTTCCCCGCGCTTGGTCCCGGTACCGAAGTTCTAGAGATCGCATTTTTCGCACAGGCAACCGTAAACTGACTACTGGGCGGGGAGGGGAGGGAAGGCAGGGGCGCGCAACCACGCGGAAAACAGCTAATGAAGAGTTAATCTCATACCCAGCTGAGCTTTAACTAATAAAGCGATTCAGAGAAAGACATTCGCAATAAGTCAATTGTTTTAAAATCTGGGGTTTGTTCCGCCGCTTAAACGAATTTTCCCCCCGAGACAGACAGACCCGAAATTTGGGGCAAGGAAATGACGGGTTATGGCAGATTACGGTCTTCTGTGCTACGGAAAGAAAGAAAGAGGAAAAACACCCAAGTTTTATGACTACAGGAAACACGTTATTCTAGGTACACGAGAACCTTGGAGAGCTGCCAAAATTAGTTTCAGTCCCAGGACAAATGGGGTTTAGGAAACATTTAAAGACGAAAAAGTTGATTCCAAGCTGAAATGGCCCTGAGATGAAAAGACGGAGCAAAGAAATGCGGGTAGATCTTGGAGAAAGCGGCGATGCTTGCTACACTTCGCCCACGGACAGCGGCGGGCGAGGGGCCGGGACGGTCTGAGAGATCGCTGCTCAGGAGGGCGAGAGGTGCCAAGCGGGGTCCTTCCCGATGCCCTGGGTTCAGCGGCGGTGGGCGGAAAGGAGGGGAGGGAGTCCGGGACGGTCCGGACTTCGGGCAGAGGAGGCGCCGGGCTCCAAACTGCAGAGTCGAACGGGTGAAGAGTAAAGAAATGGGACAGAGAGAGACGGAAAGTCGGAACCCTCCCAGCGTGGCCCGATGGAGAAAGGAGCCAAGTGAGCTCAGCAAAGAGGGGGACAAAAAGAGACGGAGCGAGAGCGCGGGGACCCGCAGGGACAAAACGGGAGTTCTGCTAAGAGGCTGAAGACAGACAAGCTCTGGCGGGCAGCGGGGCTTTAAGGGGAGCCCAGGGATGGCAGGAGGTCGGCGGCAGTAACCAGCACCTCTCCTCCCTGAGTTCGAAACTCCCAGCCAAGCATCCACACCCGTCACCCAGATGGGGGAGGGGACACCTCTCCCCCCGCACCTCCCCCCACATGTGAGAGCACTGCAGACGCCCGAGCCTGGCCCGGCGGAGCGCTGCTCGCCTCCAGCCCGGACACTCACAATTCGCCTCTCCCTGATTTCTCCCAGTACTTTATCCACTCTGCAGGAACCAGCACAGTTGCGGCCGCCATCTTCCCCTCACTAGTAGCAGAGGCCCGGATGTGTAGCACGCGAGCGAGGGGTCAAAGGGGAGCACCGCCCACGAGGAATGCCGGGAGCCGCGAGTTCGGTTGTTTTATTTCCCGCCCCACTTTCCACCCCACCCTGCGGAAGCCCGAGGCCCTGCCGCCAACCGGGTGGCTGGGACCCATGGGTCCCGTCGCAGAGTGACTACGCTGGCCGCGCCCTCTGCAAAGCTGGCCCCACTTCCCTTTAGAGCAGAAAAAAATGCCATCCCCAGGCCAACTCGTAGCCTTTATCTTCTTCCCTCGTCTCTACTCCAGACCACTAATTCAAACTTGTGTTTTTAAAGCACCTAATGTGTGCTAGACACTGGGGATAGAGAAATAATAAGCCATGATTCCTACCCTCAACGAGCTCAGTCTGTGGGGAAGACAAACATATAAATGCAGATCAATTACAATACACCCTGCTAACAGCTGAGATCGAAGAAATTAGTCGGGAAAAGGCAGCCGATTATTTTGCACCAGGCATTTTGCTGTTAGGAGGGTTAGAATCTTACTAGAGAGCAGTCGGCCTGGGGAACACTCGCAGCCACCAGCACTGACACTGTATCAACCGCTACCAGCGCTGACACTGTATCAACCGCTATTACTGAAACCTTACTCAAAACTAGGGGGCGCAAGTACCAAGAGAAACAACTTGTTTACATTTCCATAGTCTCAAAGTAGCTCCCGAGGAGACACTTAATTTCAAAGGGCGAAATAGAAACTTTACGGTCGGAAAACATGGCCGACAGCCTCCTAATTCTGATCAAAGTAAGCATTCCCATACATTAGACAAATGGGCGTCATATGCCTCCTGATGAGGTGCTAAGAAAAACTCTAACCAATTTTGTAGTATTCATTATACCAAAATTCGCATAACCTGAATTTAATCACGAAGGGCCATCAGACAAACCCATATTAAGGACAGTCTAACAAAATTATTGGCTTGCATTCTTCAAAATCATCAAGGTCACTAAAGACAAAGACATACTGAGGAACTCTTCCAGATTTATGAAAACAATAGAACTGATCCCAAGCCAAAAATATTATTTTGCTAAAAAGGGGGTCAATTGATGCGATTCGAATATCTGTAGATTAAGTAATAATATTGTATAAATGTCCATTTAATACTCGTTTTGTGGTTATGCGAAAGTCCTTAAGAAAATATGATGTATTTAGAGATAATTGGGGGCATTGTGCTGCAACTTTAAAATGTTTCAGAAAAGAACGAAGGATGATTAAGCAAATGTAAAATATTAACGTTTTAGGAATGTGGGTGAAGGACTGAACAGATTCTCTGTTCCATTTGTGCAACTTTTCAAAGTAAAGAGGTTTTTTTTAAAAAAAAGTGTTTGAAAACTTAGAAAATACAGACGTAAGAAATGAAGAAATTCTACCATACATGTATTAATGTATGAACTTTAGAACTAATATCTTGTATATTTGGCAAGTTTTATCAAATGAACCAGGTTCATTTGCATTGAAAACCTGTTCAAGAGACAGGCTGTATTTAGAATAAATTCAGGGAAATGCTACATTGTTTATTATGATCATTTTTCATCAGCTATATCTAGTCTCCTAATGTCCTGATTCTGAAATTCTAAAATACACCATTCACTTTCAATGACATCTCCAAAAAAAGAAAAAAATCTTTTGCCACTTCAAGGAGATTCAGCGATATGAGTTCCCTCTGAGCTTTTCATTTTTCATTATTCCCAAAAACTAAGGAATATTTTTAAAGTAAACAGAATGGTATAGTGAATCTTCATTGTACCATCATCCTCCCTAAAAAGTTTAAAATCATTGTTACAGGATGGCTTCTGTGATCCAAGAAGAACTATTCTGTTGCTTATGTATACTTCACTGTATAATCTACAGCAGTGGGCACTATCCGCATTTGGGGTCAGATAATTCTTTGAGGAAGGCAGGGGGAATCCTGTGCATTGTAGAATGTCAAGCCTAGACCCACTAGGTGTCAGTCACACCTCCCATACCAGTGTTGCAACAGTATTTCCAGACATCACTCAGTGTCTCCTGGAGTATAAAATAGCCCCCTGTTGAGAGCTACTGAGCTATAATATTCTGCCATATTGTGGTTTACCTTGCCACTGTATCACAGTGATTTCTTCTTCCAAACACTGAACTGTGTGCAGCATGCATATTACTCAGTATCCCACAAATGTGGTATGATCTGACTGCAGTGATGTCCTTTGAGGCCTTGATTTTCCCCTCTCCCAGAGCCTGCAGAACTATTTTTACATAGTGTGATGACTCCTTTAGGAATTGCTCACAACTAATTGGCTTTCTTGCTCCATAAGATTGCAAAGCTATCACATCTTTCACATCCTTGTTGCTGGCTTGCCTGTTCTTTGCTATCAGCATCTGGTATTGTCTCAGCAGCTGGGAGTACTCTTCCCTGGTGATCTCACTGGTTCTTGGGTACCAATGGACTAGACAGAGAGTGAGGTCTATGGTGAAGGCTAGGGATTGGGTAGTTTCAATATTGAGAGTCTGATGCATAGAGTGACTGGTTGCTTTCAGGTAATTGTAAGGTAAAGCAGTTTTTTATCATCTCAGTGACAGTAGATAATGGGACCCAGAAGGAAGCACATGAAAGCAAAATAAGACAAAATAAATAAAAATCTAAAAATGAATGCAAAAGCCATGCACTTTATGGGACTGCCCCATGAATGCTGAGTATTAGTAATGGGTCTTTATTAACTGAAGACTTAGTTATGTTAAATATACATATTAAATTTTTAGGATAACCAATACAAACATAATCATATTATATATCTTCCAGACTACCAGAGAGGGAAGAAACTAAAAGAGAGAAAGAGAAAGAAACCAATCAATCCCAAGAAGGCAGGAAAGGAAGGGAAGTTTTTTAGAAAAGTGGAAGAGAGGAAGAAATTTAAATCTACCAATTTAAACTTAAAGATATCAATAATTGCATAAGATGTAAATTAACAAAATGCTCCAGTTAAAAATAAAGATTATCAGTCTGGGTTTAAAGAAGTCTAGCTACAATTAGCCTCCAACTAATAAAAATAAATGGAAAAAAAATTAAGGGTAAAAGATGTAATAAAAGAAAAAAGCAAAACTTTTTACTGCTGAGATTTTTTACCCTGTGCTCCAAACTTAAAATGGAATAAAACAATAAGCAATAAAAAAAAAAAGAAGTCTAGCTATTTTTAAGAGACATCTCTAGGGACTTTTCCCTGGTGATCCAGCGATTGGGAATCCACCCTGCAATACAGGGGATGTGGGTTCTATCCTTGGTGAGGGAACTGAGATTCCACATGCCGCAGAGCAACTAAGCCCCTGTGCCACGACTAAGACACAATGCAGCCAAATAGATAAATATTAAAGAAAAAAAGAGAGAGATCTCTAAAACACAGGGACACAGAAAGCTTGAAAGTAAAACTAATGGGGAAAATACATCAGGCAAATACTAAGATCAACAAAAATTAAACTGTTATAGCTAGATTAATACCAGATAAAATAGACTTTAAGGAAAAAAATAAGTACCAAACTTTGAGGATTACAAAATATGGAAAAAAATTTCAATTCACCAAAAAAAGGTAACCATCCTAATCTTGCATATAATCAACCACGTTGAAATATATGAACATATAACAGAGCTACAAAGAAAAATAGACAAATCCACCACCGCAGTGAGTCTTTAATTCATCTCTCCTAGAGACTGATAGATAAAACAGAATTTAAAAGTCCATAAAAATGTAGCCTATTTGAACATCAAATGAACAAGTTTGATGTTGTAGATATACAAAGAATGCTGTACCTAGCAACTGGAAAATAAATATCCTTTATAAGAACACATACAGATTGTACACTGAGCAAAAGCACCTAGCCAAAGGGACAAGTGAGGGTCAAGCATTTATCCCGTGCTTCACTTGCCAAAACCCTTGCTCAGGTGCGCTACTGCATTCACCTGGAAGAAAGGGCACATTTTCCTAATTCACATAAAAGCAGTGTATCAATGAGTGGTAGTCCAGCACATAGAACATAAGTAACCACATACTACATTTAAAAAGGCAAATGGCAACAGATTTCAAAGAATCAGTCTTACACAGTTCACATTTACTGACCACAATGTTACTAAATTGGAAATCAGTAACAGAAAGCTTAAAAAAAAAAAAAACTATGTTAGAAAATGTAAAAAGATACTTTGAAATATGTCACAGGTCAAGGAAAAAGTTCATGCTAAAAATTAGAAAATACTTTGAACAGAGAAATAATGGACATATTATATATCAAAACTAACAGAAAAAATGATACATTGTAGCTCAAGTGGTATTTAGAAATTGACCGCTCTTAAACCTTTGTATTATTAAAGAAACAAGGCTTAAAAAATAAAAAGCTAAGCATCTAATTTGAGAAGTTACAAAAAACAATACAGAATAAATAGAAGAAAGCAGAAGTAGAGATATTTTTAAATAGAAAATATTAATAGAAAGAAACAAGCCAAAGAAATCAAATAAAACCCCAAATTGGTTGGTTGAAAAGTCTAATAAAACTGACACACCTCTGACAAGACTGAGTATATAAAAGAAGAGAGAGGTACATATAAACAAATATTAGGGATTGTATCAGTTTGGTTCATGACAGGAAACAGATGACACACTCAAAGGGGATAATTAAGGAGAATTTAATAAAGGAACCACGCACAGGATTGTGAGCAAGATTTGTTGCTGTGATGTAGTTGCTAAGTCATGTCCAACTCTTTTGTGACCTCAGTGGACTGTAGCCTGCCAGGATCTTCTGCCCATGGGATTTCTCAGGCAAGAATACTGGAGTGGGTTGCCATTTCCTTCTCCAAGGGATCTTCCCAAGCTAGGTATGGAGGCTGGGTCTCCTGTATTGGCAAGCAAGTGGGCAGGATTAGGAAAAACCAAAAATGGATGGTAAAATACCTCATGATTAGCAGTACTGGGAAACATTAGCACCCGTAAGCCTGAAGGGACAA